ATATATATAAAATAATCTCTCTTTATACATAGATATGAAAACTGACAAGAGCTACTACATAATTGATAATGGCTCTACAGTCTCTTGGATCGACACTAATAGAAAATGCCATTTTAAAAAGGTGCTCAGTTTTGCATAACCAAACCAAGTAATGTCACAAGGCTGTGTATTTTGCAGATTCCTTCAGTACAGTCTTCTGTACTTAGATCTTAACATCTTGGTGCTCAACCAAAAAATGTCATTGAGTTCTAAGACTTTCATATCTCTGTGCTACCTTGCTTAGCAAATAGTTCATAGCTTTGACTACCTCTTGAAATTAACAATATCGATCATAAACATACAAAAGCTTTTTGGATGGGCAGCTGCATCTATTTTCATGGGGCTCCATTCATTTCGGCACAGCTATTTGCAGAAGAATTACTCACTGAGCAAACCTTATCTGAGTACATCGTGGACTAGAACAACAATATCATCTGCTTTGTATTTCTAGAACAACATTAGAAAAACAGTGAGTAAATACATTTTAAAAGTAACACAGTGTTGCCCTGCTTTGCCTCAGAAACGTATCCATATGAATGGATAAATTAGTTTTTATATTTTACACATAAAAATACAAATCAGTATTATATTGTATCAAGTGAAATTACTTTGTGAAGGCTTCTGAAAAAAAACTTCCTCATTTCTCACATATATTATATAGTTTTTGGAGTTACTGTTCATTCAGTAAAACTTTATTTTACATTAATACCTGAGAGTACGGGGAGAGTGGAAGAAATAATTCACAAATTCACTGCTCCTGATCAAAACTGTATTCTTTAGAAGCAGCACGGGAACTTTAACACCAATTGCAATGATGGTATTTCACCAAGTGTTTGTAACACAAGTCAGAATTTCATTTTATTCTTCATTCATATTAGTATTGCAAGAAAAGCCTCAGTGAATGATACTACCCCCATTCTGCTTCTTTACAAAAAACATGCACAGTATAAAAACAATGCTGCTCTGCAGAGAAAGATTGTCATACAGGCTTTTGAAACAGCTGTTTTTAATTAGTTTAGCAGAGCACCCCAGTTTACTTTGTTGTTGTTCTTGTTAAAATACAAGCTCTCCCCCTCTTTCTCTAAACCCATTCTAACACCAGCTACCGAAGGTTCAAGGTCAACATTTATCAGCATTAATGCTGGCAGAGCATGCCTCCACAGGATCTTTACTATACCATTTTTTATATATTAAAAATTTCAAGTCAGATTCCAGAGCATTTTCTTGTTGCCATGAATTCTGGCAGATAGAAAATATTACAGCAGCAATAATCCAGAGAGCTATGGAAAAGAAAGAATAATTACTAGGTTGAGGTGTGGACTCAGAGTAGGCAAAGGAGCAACTGCAATCTGTCCCTAGCAGTTCAACAGTCAGCATTCAGCTAACTATGAAGAAGCTAAAGACGGTCTGTGCTTGGGCTTTCCAAACACAAGCAAACTATACATTTCATCAACACACTCCTAAGAAGCCAACAATGGCTCCTCTTGCAAGATGAATGACAACCACCACATGGTCAGACAGATGTAGCCACTGCTTTCCCTTGATTTCAACAATCTATACTAGCTTTTGCATCCGTGTGCAGCCTGGATGGCCAAACAAGCTTCCATCCTTTTCACCTGTATTGTAGGAGGATTGGTACGAAAATGGGAAAGAGAACTCCTATATAGGCTGAGCTAGAAAAGCAGGAAACCAGTTGTTTGTTGCAAAAACTAAGACATGGGAGAATGCAGTCTGCAAACTGCTGACGAGGGGCTGGAATCTGCATGAGTCCAGGACCACCAGTAACACCAAAGCAGAGGAATTGAGAGCAGGGCAACTTTCTTCTCTAACCTCATGCTCTTGTGCCTACCATAGCCTCTATTCTTAGTCTTCACCCTGCTTTGATCCCAGTCCACATCCAAGTTTAGAAATAACTAATTAAACTAACCTGGAAGACAAGCTCTAAGCTGTCGATACTCCTTTTAAGTGAAAATGGCTGGAAGTCATTCCTTTTATCACAGTAATAGAAATGAACCTGGAGAGCACACACTGTAACAGCTGTCATTCAGATAGGTTTGCAATAGGTCACATCCAGTATTTCCAAGCAATGTTGCATATTTTAATAACATGGAAAAGACAGTTTATTACTTAGTCCGTTTTCTGGAGTGAAACTTATGAACAATGCAAGAAAGTGATTGTGCTTCGAACTATTTTTATTTACATTACATACCGGTAATCTGCTATTTAAAGCTAACTCTTCAAACTTCATTCCCTATGTAAACACCAGACTCCGGATTTCCATAGTAACAACCTTAATTTGTAAGCGCTTTATGTGGTTAATTCAGAGTCAAAGGTAAAGAAAATTACATTCTGGTTCTTGCTTTAAGTTGTAAATTTTTAGCAGACTCTATTTTAACTTTTATGTCATGAGGTTTCTCAAAAAATCTCACAAAGGCTGGCTCATTTAATAAGGATGCCAGAATCTGTTCAAAGGCAAAAGACCATTCATGGTTCCCCCTCAAACTCTGTGCTCTACTGCCTTCAGTCTGCTCTGAGCTGCTTTCCTCCTGTCCTTCTCTGGGGATTTCAGCAGGCACCTCCGTAACAGCAACCGGACTTTTGATGGGTGATGTGGGACTCTGCAGTCTCCTCCCAACTTCTTCCATTTTCAGTAGGAGGCTGGTAACCACCACTATAGCCCGATATAACAGTTCCTCCTCAGGATCCCCATGGAACAGATTGTACAGAGTTTTTGAGAACTGGATGAACTGAGACTACAAAGAGACATAGAGGAGACTATTCAGAGAACAGCAACACAACTGTCCTGTTTCACTACACATTGTGATCTCAATCCAGTGCCTGCTGCTGACAGGCACCTGGTACAACAACTGCTCTAATGACAATATGGGCACGGTCCAGCCCTGATACCTAAGTAAGTCTGAAGTCCCCCTCTTCATAAGCTTACAGTTACAGGAGTTCAAAAAAACCACAGTCTATTGATTAATGTGAAGGTCTGAAATGTAAGGGATCCTACAAATCCTTTAGAAAACTACTAATAGGACTTAAAGGATAAACAGCAGTCAAAAATAGACTTAAATAAGACTCAGAGAGACAGTTTACCTGATTCATTCTCGGCAAATCCTTAATGTTTTCTTCTTTTTTAAGAAGTTCATCTTGCCATTGCTTCAGATATGCCTGAATATCAACCTTCCCCTTCCCTACTTCACCAAAAGGAAAAATAATAAAAAAAAAAAAGACGTGAACAAACAAGAACTAAGAGCTTCGCATGAGGGATGATAAGCAAAAGAACTGGCATCCTCAATGTCATTCCTTCTCAAGAGAGTGGTGGGGCCAAGGACTAAACAAGATCAGAGTTTACATTACCCTCTCGCCCCGCAGGACTATACTTATAAAACTGGATATAATGTTAGCACTGCGCTAGAGATGAGGTTACTCAGTGTACTTTGTCACCACATACTTCCCCAGCTCTGCTCCCCCAAAAGACACACAGTTACCAAATGTGTCTCCAGGATTCTTTACCTTTTTCTGGACTGCTCTTCAAAGAATCACTTTCAAGACCTTCCTCAACAGATGGAACTACAGTTTAGGAGGAAAAAACCAAGAAAGAGTTATTTATTTGAGAAAGGAGGACCAATGGTTCATTTCCGTTCATCAAAAATTCCTTCCTTAAGGAGCAAGACCCTCACCGACCCCTATGTTCTCAATACAGATTAGGCCAAGAAGAAACCACATGGTAGGATTTGTATACTTTCTATAAAAATAGAAGCCACCATGAGGCTGGAGATCACAACAGAAAATGCAATCAGTTACATCAAGCAAGTAATCTTCATAATGTTCATGGTTCGTGTCTTGAACAGTGGTGAGAACAGTACCCACATATTACAGATAAGGTATTTTTGGATAGTTTTTAAAAACCAAAAAGGATCTGTCTTCCGAAGAAGTAAAACCACACAGCTTTCCAAACAGAATATTTTATCAACTCCATAAACTTAGACCCCACAAAACTTTTTTCACCTTACTTGGTTTAAAGTGGAAACAAAGGATTTTGAAACGCTTGCTTATGTGCCTCAAAATAATTATGGATTTGGATATTTTATTTCTTGAGGTAGGAAATATCATCCCTTTATGCCCTGAATGCAAAAGTGAAACGGCCATCGCTTCATCAACCACTGCAACAGGCGGCCTACTATGCTTGAAAAATGCTGACCAAATACACTCCCCTATTTCCATGTAAACACCCGTGGTCTTTGAATTCAATCATCAGACTAGCTATCCACAAATTCTACACCACTTTATGAAAATGTAACTATCTACAGAAGATCTTCGCAGAGGATTCCTGTTAACAGTGATATGATTTACTGGATTTACTAGTTTTCAGTAGAGAGCTCCCCATTTTTCACCACGAGATAATTAATAGATTCCTTCTAATATTCTGCAGGCAAAGCCTCACACTCTGGAGCTTACCACTGAGTTGGCTGAATTGGATCAGTTCTTCTTTTGAAAGGTCACCACCTTTGGAAGGGCTTAGAGATTCTACTTCAGTAAAAGCTGCAATAAATAAATGAATAAAGTGGTTTTGGGGCTCCCAAGCATTACCAAAGCACTGATAAAAAGCAAAAGCTTTGTACAGACAAATGGTCCCTATGAAGAGAAATGGTGATGGAGCAGATTAAGTCCTTCCCAAAGAATACACCACTCTGGAAGAAATACACATCTGTATTACAGCTATCAGACTGTACTGTCACCAGGACTGGTGACAACCGGAAGAAAACTAAAGCTAAGAAAAAACAAAGACGATAAAAGCCAGGAACAGCCCTCCCCACTTACCTGGAGGGATGTGCAACTTAAAAAGAAGCTTGAGTTTGTCAGTGAAACTTCCATTATACATGGTATCTGTTAGAGGAAAGAGGCAAGACAGTCTGTTCAACTGGACCAAACTTTCAAACACCCTCTTAACCTAAACAAATACAACCCAGGGAGGTTGGAACTGGACATGTGTCCTATCTGCCATGCCACGGAGTATAATTAGAGATGAAGCTTAAGGAAGGCATCACCTGCAACTGAGCCTGGGGTTTGCCTACGCTGAGGAAAGAACACTAATAATGTCTATGACTTACTAAAATGAAACCGCAACACCAAAGAAATATAGCACTAATGTCTTCTCAGCATTTTCCCTTAAATTTTTGTTTCCTGAACAATACCACCGTGAAAACAAGATGAAAGGAACAGAGTAATAAGTCAAGAAAACTTTCAGTTCCCCACAGATATAAAGCACTGGTCATCTTGCACGATCTGTGTATGAGATGACTTAGTGTGAGGAAGCATTTATCATCAACCAAACAGGCTGGGCAATGAGATCATACCATTTCCTAATTTTCTGATATTTTGGTGGTAAAGCCATATTTAAATTTAATCTCAAATAGGAGACTATTCTCCAGGGGATTAATGTCTCAGAAAAGTTACTAGTTTGTAAAGCCTTGTGTTAGCTATTTCATGGTGAAATACAGACAAGAAAATGAGAGCACAGTTCCATAACTTAAAGCCTTTATCATTCACCTAAACAGTGTAGCTACCACTCTCAAGCTTATAAATATACTTTGAGCATTTGGCTTTGCATTTAATGTCACATGATAACAATCAGACTATTTGACCCTAAGTTAAGAAGCTAGTCTCCTTAGGCTCTTTATATAGTGTATGGAAGGTGATACACTCCAGGACTACTCCCAAGATGGAGTTCCCTTGTGAATGTGCTACATATACATGTTGTTCTCATACCAAGAACACAGGCAAATTGTTTGAAGTTTATAAGGCAATCGGAGCTCTCATCCATCAGTCTGAACGTCCACAATGCAAGCGAGTCTCTATTTTCACAGTGTGACCAGGGGCTCAAGAGATGACAGAGAACCCTGAATTGCTGGCAATCAATCCGATACTGGTCAAGATACGGCAGACTGGCATCATGATGTTGCAAGACAGGACTATTTACATTCCAATAACAGGAAAGAAAGTGCTCCTTCTGCAAAGGAAAGATAAAATGTCAGGTTTTCTGAAATGACAACTACCTCTGGGTAAAAGATGTGAGAAGTTAACTAAGTAACTTGATTTAAAGCTGACATGTAAAACGTATGTTGAACCTAGCTTTTACCGCAATTTGTTAAAACTGTTTCACACCCGTAACACAGTCCACCATTAAGATGAATGTTTGGTAAGTGAGGAAAATGGCACATTACCTTGAATAATTCATAAAGCTCTTCAAGATCACTGGGACTGAATTTGACATCCTGGGACACAACCCGTAGCTGAAACAAAATTAAGAGAAAATTAATTAATGAGTATTCCCTCTTTGGAGTAAGCCTGTAGAATAAAGTTATGGGAGACTTAACCTTACATTAAAAGACACTGTTTGAATATTCCAGGTTTTGGCATGTTATTGTTAGGAGTAAGAATAGAACTTCTTTTTAGAAGCAATCAGAAGATTATAGACTGAAAGAAATAATTTCTCCAAAAAAAAGGGAGCTTAAAGCTAGTCACATTACTTGCATACATGGAGCCTACGCTATGAAACCCAGGAGACAAAACTCAATTATTTATAATGATATAACATATAGCTTCCTTTATAATGGGCAAATGCATGTTCAGCTCTCAACAGTGAAGCTGAATACTCATTTTTTTAATTTAAAAAAAAAAAAATTGTTCACAGCTTTTTAAAACAAAGTGAGCTACAAGACCAGGTTCCATCTTCACAATATATATGTTTTGTTAAATGAAATACAACAGTTTCATCTTAGCACAACCAAAGGCATTTAGTATCAGTTGCTACAAGCCATGTTTACTACAGAAGGAATCACTGCTTGTTAAATAGACCAGTATTATCATCAGTTATTGGAAATGAGCCACTGAAGATAATAGGCAAACAAAAGAAGCACCTTGCAACCTCCACCTTCATTCAGGAGTCTGAACTTAAAGGATGATATTGGCAGCTGAAGAGCTACCACACCATGCACGCATTACCGGACATCCACACACACCACAGAGAAAAAGCAACTCTTGTTGAATGCGGTACAATAATCTCTTCAGTGACATTTGGGATTGCTTCCCAGAGTAAAAACGCAGGTGATTAATTGTTTCACTAGAGCACTGTGGACATTTTACAGTGCTCTATGTCTCTAAAAGAAATGCATTAACAATTTAACAACAGCAGATAGAAATAGAGGTCAGCCTGTTCCAATCAATGCAAAGTGTCAGAGATATGCCAGCCTTTAGAAGTTGTCTGTGATGGTGTTACTTGTAACGAGACCAGAAGGTCATGCTGTGATTCAGAGACTGAAAACGTCACAGGCCAAACCTCTGTTAACAGACACCCTGCAGACGAGAGGGATTTCAGCATATAAAATTATGTATTTGGCCCTGGGAAATGTAGCTCTTCTCAGAATTTTCCAAAAGGGAACGAATTTTATCAGAGGGAAGGGTTTAGCTCTTCCAGGTCACTCACCACATTCTGCTTGGTTGTAGCTTCTAACGTCTGGATCACATAAAGCCTGTTCCTGCAGCGCATGCTCTCAACATCCTCATATCGAATATCGCCATATCTCTAAGAAGAAAAGCATCATTCCATGACATCAACTGTTGCTAGGCTCATCTAAGCAGATATTTTTGTCTTTCTTGCATCTAAGTACAATACAGGTATGGACACAAAGAAAGATCCCAGAAACTCTGAGAAAAAAAATCATTTATTAGAGCACTAACATTCTCCCTAAACAGTGTAACTTTTAAAAGGGCAGGTGTTTCAAAGAGTGACAGAGAAAGAGTAGTTCACTGTATGGGAAGACAAAGGAAGGGATTTTACCACGGGTCGGCTCTATATCCCACTCTGCTATCACATGGTCACTACTACTGCAGGGTAGCAAAGTCTGAGACGTGTATGTTGTCAGGGCTTGAAGTTCACTCTAGTGAATTTTAGAAATCAGCTGAAGTAATTTCTGAACCGTTCCTAGCTACCTCTGGAATTTCTGAAGGACAGGGAAGGTGTCTGAGCATTAGACTAGAATAAATACATTTACCTTTAAAGAAAAGTGGGATAGTAGGCAAGAACTAGAAACAAATTCCCAGAGAAATCATGGAATAAATTATTAAACAATTAAAACCTAAATAGAAACAGGTAAAATAAATCAAAATGGGCCACCATTCTTTATCAAGATCTTGTGAAATGAATTTAATTTCCTCATATGAGGAAATTCAGTCTAGTGTATAGAACTGAAACAGCAGATAGGATACATCTTTACTTCTGCAAGTTTTTTGACACTCTTCAGCAACACGTGCAACCAGGAAGACATGGCCTAACCACTATCACCATGCACCATGTGCACAACTGTTTCTAATACCAAACTTCGAGAACAAATGAGTGATAAATGACCAAACTAGGCAGAACTTTCAGAAGTTTTTCCACAGTGTGTTTTGTTCCCATTTTTGGCAATGCGCTTTAAACAAGATATGAAAAACTGGAACACAGTCATAAAGAGTCTGAGCACATAAGCTTTGGGGAAAGGTTAGAGGAACTGGTTGTATTGAATCTAGAAAAATAAAAGATCAGAGTTGGAAGGGTAAGGATGAACAATAACAACCTAATAGCAACAAGGAATTGCAGAGAAAACTGCAATTGACTATCCTCAATAGCGATTTATGAGCATCCAAGAGGAACTATACTTGGTATTAGGATATTTTCTGACAAGGGCAGACAAACCCTACAATGGGCTAAAGTTTTTGCAGATTCTCTTTTGTTGAAGAGTTTTAACAACATGAGACATTTTTCAAGGATGATCTGGGTGTATGCTGGACAGGGAGCTGAACTGGATGACCTGTGGAGTTCTCTTCCAGAACTGTATTTCTATGTTCCTGTGAAGACCACTACCAGCATACTTCTGACTTGGAACAAAGAGGAAGCAGAGAGAAATTGCATCTCTGAATCATAACTCATTCACTGGTCTGGCTTCTGGGCACTGATGTTGTGCAATGGCCTCAATAAGAATATAAACAAGATGTATAATCTAACTCTGAATTAGTGTGATGTGATAAAATGTTACACGTTCTTCCATTCACTAGTTAAACAGGACTTCTTCATACCTGATTAGACTGCCAAAGAATGAGTCTTGCATTTGTGCCTGAGTCATAAAGGCATGAAACTGAACATCATTTTAAAACTCAACTCCATATCGTTTCACCTAATCTCACTTATCTTGTGAACACGCACGCGAAGCAACAGTATCACAAAGAACATCTTTGTTCACTTATTCATGATTTGTAACTAGACCTATCTGCAGAATGACAACTCTCCATTACAGCAATCTTCCCATTTGGAAATTTGTTTTATTTTATTTCCACAGTGATACGAAAATAAAACCCTTCACCGGAAGAGAAATGTTGAAATTAACTGTCTGGTCAAAATGGGAAGCAGGAAATTGACTCTTACTTCGTATCAGCAGTTCTCAAACAAGGGCTTGTGACACTTACCAGCATTGAAGAAATTCAGTTTCAACTGAAGATAAAATTTGCATCCAAAAAAGGGACTATGGGATAGAAATGGGGATACAGGCCTAGGAACAGGGCTGTCAACTTGGAAGTGGGAGATTCAGGTTCAAGGATCTGCCCAAATCAATGTTCAAAAGCCATACCAAATCAGAGGCTATTGCTTTGGTCCAGTCACCTGCCTGCAAAGGCAGGGGAAGAAGAAAGGGAGTTTCTTTTGCTTTGTCTTTCAGTAATGATTCCACCTCTGTGAAAGCTTCAGCTTACACTTCAGAATGCAATATACAGCACTTCACTATTTACCATCTCTATTCTTTATTCTGCAAGTATTCATCCTTAGTATGAGATCTCACCATGATAAGAAAGACCCATAACAGTTTGCACCTCTTCTTACAAGCATCTTAGAGCGTTTTACAAACATGATTCTTCATATAACATTCTTGCGAAACAATACTGACAGCAGAAGCACAGACTTTTTATATGATGAGCCCAATGCTATAAAGACACTTCAAGAGAACTTGAATTTCTGATTCTTGTCTTTGTTTATCCCACTAAAGGCAAAGCCCTCTTCTCAGTAAAAATCAAGAGACAGTTCCTAAATGATACAAATTACAGTTAGTTAATATTTTCTGAGTCAAGGCAATATTTTTCCAAAAGAGATGTATTGTGGATCTTTCACTAGAAACATATGACTGAGAATCAGAAGAGAAAAAAAAAAGTATCATATAGATAAAAGAAACCAGCTAATAGAAAAAACAAAATGTGAACAAATCTCTTCTCTCAGCTTGCCTTTCAGTTCAGGTGGGCTGAGCAGAAACCTATCTACAAATGGATTAATACCCTGATACAAATCATGCCAAGGAAGGAAATGCCTCATGAAAATCTGAGGACAAAAGGAGAAGGAGAAGCTAGACCTATTTCCTCCCCAATGCAGAGCTGCAAAACCAGGCACTGCAGAAATCAAACTTGCAAATTGAAAGAAAGTGCTAAAAGATCATAACTGGTGTTCCTCACCGAACACATCTCTAAACAGTCATTTAACCCATACAATAAACTACTCAAGTACAGTTTCCTGCACAGGTTGTTATGTCAAATGTTACCACTATCTGTAATGTGCTGTAATCAGTCTCAAATTAGTAAATGCAAGGGCCGTTTCTGCTGTACTTTGTCATTTAGTTGACATACTAATAAAGTGAAAGAGGGATGGCAATACATGACCTGTGATGAACCTAGGGAACTCCACTCAGGACAGCCTAGCAAGCACATTCCAGGCAGTTACAAAACCAAAACAATACGAAACCAAACCTATCCCATAACCTATAAGGTTTTCAGTGAGGCTCAACAAAATACAGAGCCCAATTTCTACCAATCTAGACAGATTTTCTACTCTAGTTTGTATAATGCAGCTGCACTATTTTTAAGGTAGCCCGTCCCACTGCATGGGATGTGAAAACATACCCACAAGAACACATACTTCATTTGACTCTCGGATCAGATCAGTAATGTCCACTTTTGGATGGTCACTCTTTGTTTCGCTGAGGTTGGAGCCCTGCTGCACAGCCGGAGGCAAAGGACTGTCTTTGTTAGTGACACTGTCAAAAAATCTGCACAAACACACAAGA